GAGTTACCGTTTATTGTATATATGTTTTACTAGTGTTTTTAAGGTCCCTTCCCTCACATATCAATTAGTATTCAATCTTTTGGTCACTCTCTTAGTTTGCAATTTTTTCTTCCATTATACACTATAATTATCTATCTCTGTTCATAAGAAAGTTATTGAATTTGTAATATGAATTGCATATTCTGCTCTCTTAGTCTCCTCAGTACTTCTATTTCTATTTCTATTTATTTATTTTTAAAGATTTTATTTATTTATTCGAGAGAGAGACAGAGAGAGCACAAGTAGGGGGAGCGGCAGAGGCAGAGGGAGAAGCAGGCTCTCCACTGAGCAGGGAGCCCGACATGGGGCTCGATCCCAGGACCCTGGGATCATGACCTGAGCTGAAAGCAGATGCTTAATGGACTGAGCCCCCCAGGCGCCCTATGCCTGTTTTGCTTTTGTCTCATCCACTCACATTGGCCGCCACACCCAGAGCAATGTTAAATAACTCTTGTGGTGATGGCAGGCACCTTGAGGTTGGACTATTATGTTCATGCAGTTAGGGTTGACATGGCTTCTTGGCCAACTGATTCCTTCTCATTATAAAATATCCTCCCTTATCCCTGGTAATATTCCTCGTTTTGAGGTCTACTTTGCCTGACATTAAAGTAGTCACTTCAGCTTTCTTAATTAGTATTTCCAAGGTAAATCTTTAATCCTTCATTTTCTTTCATCATATCTGTATTTTTATGTTCAAAGTGAGTTTCTTCTAGCTAGCATACAGTTAAGTCTTGCTTTTTAAATCCAGTCTCATGATCCCTTATAAGTGGAGGCTTTAGTCCATTTGCTTTTTATAAAAACAACTTTATTGAGATATAATTTACATACCATAAAATCCCTCCATTTAAAGTGTACAATTCAATGGTTTTTAGTATATACAGAGATTGAAGAGTAACATTTTTAGTAGATTCACAGAGATTAGTATATTCAACAGACAGTTGTAAAACCAGCACCATAATCTAATTTTAGAGCATTTTCATCATCTTAAAGAGAAAGCTGGTACCCATTAGCATTCACTCCTCACCTCCATTCCCCCAGCCTAGCCAAGCGTACCTCTTTCTGGCTCTGTAAATTTGCTTAGTCTGGAATCTTCATATTCATGGAATCATACAATGTGTGGTCTTTTATGAATGACTTCTTCCATTTAGCATCATGTTTTGAGGTTCTTCCACATTGTGGCACATATTAGGACTTCATTTCTTTTTATTATTTCATTTCTTTTTATTCCATTGTATGGGGATGCCCCATTTTATATATCCATTTATCAGTTGATAGACATTGGGTTTTTTTCCACTTTTTGGCTATCACAAATAATGCTGCTTGAACCTTCTTGTACAGGTTTTTGTGTTTTCATTTTCCTCTCTCGGGGTACATATCTAGGAGTGGAATTGCTGGATCATGTGGTAACTCTACGTTTAACCTTTTGTTCACCTTCATTTTTGAAAGATATATTTTTAAAATTTTTTATTTATTTTTTTAACAGAGAGAGAGACAGCGAGAGAGGGAACACAAGCAGAGAGAGTGGGAGAGGGAGAAGCAGGCTTCCCGCCGAGCAGGGAGCCTGATGCGGGGCTGGATCCCAGGACCCTGGGATCATGACCCGAGCCGATGGCAAACGCTTAATGCGTGAGCCACCTAGGCGCCCTTGAAGGATATATATTTTTTAAGATTTTATTTATTTATTTGACAGAGAGAGACACAGCGAGAGAGGGAACACAAAGCAGGGGGAGTGGGAGAGGGAGAAGCAGACCTCCCGCTGAGCAGGGAGCCCGATGTGGGGCTCGATCCCAGGACCCTGGGATCATGACCCGAGCCGAAGGCAGACACTTAACGAGTGAGCCACCCAGGTGCCCCCTTGAAAGATATTTTTAAAAAATTATGTATGGGTGCATCTATAGAGTGAATATTAATTTTTTACTTTTTATTCTATTCACAGATTACTTTACATGGAGTTACAGTAATAGATTTCCAAATAGTAAACCATTTAATTTCCAAATACTAAGCGCTTTTTAGAATACACTCTACTTGATCATGGTGTATTATTTTTTGGTGTTCTGGTGAAATTGTCCGCTCATACAGTTTTCAGAATTTTTTCATAAGTGAGATAGGTTTGTTGGGTTGGGTTTCTTTGTTTTTTGCTTTCTTCAATAGGTTTTAATCTCAATGCTACGTTTACTTCACAAAAAGAATTTTGAAGATTTCCTTCTGTCTCTATGTTTTAGAAGAAGTACGGGTACCTGTTTAAGTGTTTGGTTGAATTCTCCTGCCGAGCTATCCAGTGCTTTTTGAAGGAGAAATTTTTTGACAACTCTACTCCATTTTTTAAAAAATTTTAACTAGGCTCCATGTCCGGCGTGGGGCTTGACCTCATGACCCTGAGATAGAGAGTCACATGCTTTACTGACTGAGCATGGGGCCCCCAACAACTCTACTCTATTGAAATGGGTCTGTTCATAGTTCTCCTTCTTCTGGGATAATTTAGGTAATACGCATAATAACAATAATACTTTGGGTTTCTGGACCAGTCAAGTCCTCCTGTGCAGTGACAGCATCAAGATCACAACACCCCAGGAATGATACAGTATGTGTTTTTCTGTCTGCCTTCTTTCATTCAGCATAATATATTTTGACATTCACCTACGTTGTTGCATGGTGGGGATAATCTTTGGATAGTAGTTTGTTTCTTTTTAATGATGAGCAAATATACCACCATATGGCTATACCACAGTTCATCCGCTCACTTGTTGAAGGACATCTGGATTGTTCTCCATTTTTGATTATCATGAATAAAGATGCATTGGATATTCTTATACAGCTGTTGTGGCCAGATGGTTTTATTTCTCTCGGATGAATACCAAGGGATGGAATTGCGGGATCACACAGTAGATGTATGTTTACTTTTTCAAAGGAGCTGCCAAACAGTTTTCCAAAGTGGTGGTACCATGTTATATGCACATAGCAGTTGGAGAGTTCCAGTTGCTCCTCATCCTTGGCACCTTAGGTGTTAGGAGTACTCTTTGCTCTCACCCTCTAGTGCATGCACAGTGATACCTGCTAGGGGGCTGTAATTTATATTTCCTGATGACAAACGATATGGGATGAGCACTTTTTCTTATGCTTATTAGCTATTTATATTCTTTTGTGAAGTGTGTGTTCACATCTTTTGCCGGGTTTTTTTGGCTGTGTTGTTTGTATTTTGTTATTGAGTTGCAGGAGTTCTTTATTCCAGATACAGGTCCTTTGCCAGATATATCTGCTATGAATATTTCCTCTCAGTCTGTGGCTTGCCTATTTTCTTGACAGTGTTTTTTGATAAACAGAAGTTTTAAATTTAGATGGTCTATTTATAAATTTTTTTAGGGTCTCTGCTTTTGATGTCCTTTCTAAGAAATCTTTGCCTACCAAAAGACTAAGAAGATATTCTCCTATGTTTTCTTCTAGAAGATTTATCAGTTAAGTTTATGTTTTGGACTATGGTCCCTCTCAAACTGAACTTTGTTTGTGGTGTGGGTAGAAATTGCAGTCTCCCCTCCCCCCACGCACTTCACATGAATACCCAGTTGTTTCAGCATCATTTGTTGGTGAGCTCATCAAAAATCATTTGACCTTTTATCAGATGGCTCTTGGTATCTCTCCAACACTAAGCTCCCAGGTGTAAATATGTCTCATGCAGTGTTTTCTGTACTCAAAGTGAGTCCCCAAGACAAGGAGCATCACATCACCCGGGAGCTTGTTAGAAATGCAGAAATCAGCACCACTCCAGCCCCATGCAACCTCCAGATGATTCACAGGCACATTACGTTTTGAGAAGCACTGGTGTAGATCATTTTTTATGAGGGAGGGGGAATGTCACCGTGACACACTCTGCCATTGACAGCCTCCCCATGTACTGCAGGCTGCGGGGTCCTGAGAACTCATTTCCACTTCTTAATATGCTAGACTTACTCCCAGACGCAGTCTCAGGGTCCACCACTCCCGACAAGGGCTGCTGCGCGTTCCTTGCTGCTGGGAGACAGGGAGGGAACTCACTCGCTTACTCCTCACTCTCTAATACCCACAGCCACCTGCTCACTCACCCAGCAGCTTCTGCCCTCTCTTCCATACACATCTTCCACCCCTGAACCTTAGTTTCCTCAATTACGGAGCCCAGATAATAATGGTGTCTATCTCCGGCGCTAATGTGATGCAAAGTGATCTGAGGAGTACCTGGGCATAAAGACAGCACAATAAAACTAAGTGATCTTCACAGCCATTTCAGAGCCCGTTGCCCAGGAGAAGCCCCTGCATACAAGCTGCCTTGCCCCTCCCCGCCCCTCACTCCCGCTCCGCAGCCCCACCCCCTACACCCGGGCAGAACTGAGCCTTGCAGTCTTCCCAGCTCGACTTCTCCTCCCTCCCTTCTCCGCGCCCCCAGGGCACAGTGCACCGATAAATCTTCCCCGGCACGCTGCATTGTTACAGCCACTTGCCCTCGCCTCTGACTGGTGCCCCGTCCGGCACGAGAGTTCCTCAAATCCAGGTTGTCTGTCTTGGTGGTCTTTGAAGCCCCAGCCCCCGGCACAGTGCCTGGTACTTGGAGAGCACTCCATAAATGTTTGCGATTTTGGATAATACGTGAAGCAAGCGTCCAGCCCTCAACTCGCGGGGGGTGGGGCATGTGCGGGCGGCGGGGGGCAGAAGGGGAGGCTGGCCGTGTGCCGCCTAGAAGGACACAGGCGGGGGCTGCTCGGGGCTCGGTGGGTGGGCGCCGGGGCGGGGGCATAGGGGGCCCGAGAGCGGAGCCCGGGTCCGCAGAGGACTGGCGGGGCGGGACGCCCAGGCTCCCCGCGCTCCTCCCACGCCTCCTCCCGCGCCCTCTTCCCCCGCCTCCTCCTGCGCCCCGCCCGCTCCGGCTCCACCGTCCCCGCCCCGCGCGGCCGCGGCAGGGAGGGGCCGGGGAGGCGGAGCCAGCAGCGGCCGAGGCTCCGGGCACCCGCGCGGCTCCCGGCGGCGGAGCGGAGATCCCGGAGCGCCCAGGTAGGAAGCCCCGCGGGGAAGCGACCCGGGAGCCCGACTGCGGCGGGAGGGGCGCGGCGGGGGCGGGGAGGAGGCGCCGAGCCCCGCCCCTCGTGCGCGCGGCTGCCTCGCGGCCCCCCGAGCCCCCCGCCTGGGGGAGGGGGCGCAGAGTCCCCGCCCCTCGGCCCGGGGCCTTCCTCCCGGCGCTCGCCCCCCCCACCCCGCCCCCCGTGCGCCCCGCGCCTTTCCCGCCGCTCGGCATCCTCCGGACCGCCCGCGAGCGGCCCCCGGGGCTCGCCTTCCCTTCGGCCAGCCGCGCTCCTTGTTCGTCCCACAGGTTCCTTCCGAAAGCGAGCTGGAGTCTGGCCTGGTCGCCTCGGGGAGTGGGGGCACAGCTAGAAGGAGCCAGAGCGTGAGTGTGGCGGAGGGCGGCGCAGTGGCTGGAGAGAGCCCAGTACCATTCTTTTGCATCTTGGTGTTCCCGGTGCTCCGCGCACTGGGGCTGGCTCCATGTTTGCGGAATGAATGAATCATTACTCTCCTTGTCCCCTTCCGAAGGAGGACTTTTTGAGGTCCACGTGCTGCAGAGCACGTTGGGGCGGGGGGGCGGGGGGCTCCTGAGCTAGGGCTGCCCAGTCCTGCATAGTGGAGACCCGACTCTCATTTCTCCACCTCCTCTCCGCCCTCCGTTCTAGGGGATGCTCCCTTCAGTTTGGGACTTGGGGGTGGTGGGGGAGGAGGGAGCTTGTAGGCCCAGACAGGTGTGACCAGGGACTTGAAGGTGAACAAGGGACTTGTGAAGGACAAGGGACCTGCGCAGGGCCTCTCGGAAGGTAACAGGGCACAGGGGATGCTGCAGAGCAGAGCACCCACCGTGAGCAGGGGCCACCTCCTACCTTTGGGACCAGCCCGAAAAGGCCACCAGAGTATAGATTCTGACCTGCAAGCTACTGAACTCTGAGCCTCTGTTTCTTCACCAGTAAAATGGGGATATTAGTACCCATTCCTCAGGGCTTTGTGCACATTAAGAAAAATGTCATATGAAACTAGCCAGCAGAATGCTTGGCACATCCGGGGTACTAGCAAATCTTGGTTTTCTTTCTTTGCTCTCTGGAAAACAAACAAACAAACAAGCGGAGAGTTATTCATCACCATCCCCTCTGTCCCCAAATTGGTCATGGACAGACACAGCAGGTGTGTAAGCACTGTTTGTTGAATGAATATGCTTGATGGAGCGACACCACTCACTGTCCTCCTCTTCCCGGAATCCACAGGCAGAGGTCGGGAGCTGAGCAGCAGAGACATGCCCGTGCTGTCTGAGGACTCCGGTGAGTGCCTTTCCTGGGCTGGGCCTGCCGGAAGCCCTGGAGAAAAGAGCCTGCCCCAGCAGCCCCAGGCTGGGAGGAAGCAGGATGCTGCCTGCATTAGCTCACAGGAGCTGCCCTGCCCCAAAGCCCTGGGGATGAGAGCCTGTGGAATGTCCACACGGCAGGGTCCACTTGGGGTCCCACAGGGGCAGGAAGTACCCATGGCACTGGCCAAACTTGGTGTGTCTTATCCTCTCCTCAGGTTTGCATGAAACCCTGGCACTATTGACTTCTCAGCTCAGACCTGACTCCAACCACAAGGAAGAGATGGGCTTCCTGAGGGATGTTTTCAGTGAAAAAAGCCTCGGTTACTTGATGAAGGTAAAGCCCCCATATTATCCCATCTGCTGAGGGTTTCTAGAGGTTTTCCTAGCTGGCTGAGGCCCGTGAAGTTCATCTCAAGCATTCCCTTGCCCCGGGAAGGTCTTCGTTAGCCCACTATGAATGGCTTTCTCTTGGGCTGACCCATTGGTGACCCGCTGTGCAGCCATCCGCACAGTCATGGGCAGTCTGTGGGGTACCCAGGGTACACCTGGCAGCTGACTTGGGAGGCCCCAGCCTGAAATTGTCTGTCTTTGCAGATTCACGAGAAGCTTCGCTATTACGAGAGGCAAAGTCCAACCCCTGTTCTGCACAGCGCTGTGGCCCTTGCTGAGGATGTAAGCCCCGGGTTTTTCCTTACAGTGTTAGCCCCACTCCTGACGCCATAGGGCCCCTTCATCTTTTTTTTTTTCCCTTTTTTGTTATTGTTATGTTAATCACCATACATTACATCATTAGTTTTTGATGTAGTGTTCCATGATTCATTGTTTGTGCATTACACCCAGTGCTCCACGCAGAATGTGCCCCCCTTAATACCCATCACCAGGCTAACCCATCCCCCCATGCCCCTCCCCTCTAGAACCCTCAGTTTGTTTTTCAGAGTCCATCGTCTCTCATGGTTTGTCTCCCCCTCCGACTTACTGGGCCCCTTCATCTTGCCCGTCACCATCGCTTAGCCTATAGGGGACACAGGGGCTCGGAGCCCAAAGGTGAAGAGACATCACCTCCCCTTCTCCTCTTGCTCCTCCTTGGGCCTCCTAATGGGCAGGAAGGAACTTGTGAGCCTTGGACTGAGCCAAGGGACACAGGCACATGAGCATGCCCACTTACTGTGTGTTCCCGAGAAAGTCTGTTCCCCCCGCTGTGAAATGAGAGCATTTGGATCAGATCAGCAGTTCCCAACTGTTGAGGACTGGCGATATGAAGGTCAAACAATCGCCTTGTACTGTGCTTTGGGGAGGCCCAATGTGAAATCCTGGGGTCAGGTGACTTGCAGTGTGTCCCTGCCTATTGGCTCAGGATTCCCATTTTTTTTAAGGAATGCTTCCTAACTTCTTATGGACCTGCCCTCTATGTTGCATGGTTTGGGAAGTTGATGGTCAAGGTCAGCTCCTCAATAAACTCACCTAACCCAGGAGATGGCCTGTCTTGGCATGGGTGCAGACCTTCCCTCCTTTCTCTCCTATGTGACGTGATTAGGAGCACGTTAGGCTGTCAGGCTCCCAGGCCCGGCACTGTCTCTCCTACCAGCTCTGGGACCTGCCACAGGTCATTCAACCGCTCTGAGCCCCAGTCTCTTCATCTATAAACTAGCACAGTGGTGAGGCCACAGATAACAGAGCCACATAGGCCCAGGTTCAAATCTTGGTTTTTCAACCTAGGGCAAGGTATTTATTTAATCTCTCCTATGTAATTCTCATCTGTCAAATGGCAAAATAATAATACCTGCCATGTTGAGTTCTCTGTGAAATTTAGATGGGAAAGTCCGCATTAAGCAAATGGCACATAGTAAGGGCTTAATAAGTTAGCTCCCATTAGGAGGACCCTCCATGAGCTACTCTGGCTCTTCTGATCCAGGCAGGCTGTGATTTCCCTGAGAGTGTCAGTCCTGGGGTGGCTGAGGGTCCCATGCACTCAGATGCTGTCACAGTTCCTGCGAGGACCCTTGGGTCTGAAGCTCAGGGAGCAGGGTTTTCCCCAGAGACCCCCAGTGGGCTCGAAGCACCCACAGCTGCATGTGATGTTCTGTCTCACTCCTTCACAGGTGATGGAGGAGCTGCAGGCCGCCTCTGCGCACAGCGACGAGAGGGAGCTGCTCCAGCTGCTGTCCACCCCCCACCTCAGGGTAGTCACGCGGTCCCTGCCTGCCCACGCGGCTTGTGTCCCCTGGCATGGGGGCTGTGGGGAGCGCTCGGCCGGGAGGCTGAGGAAAGAAGAGTTCTGAGTGAGGGGGTCCTCAGGACCAGCGTCTGGGTGGCGGTTTCTCTGGCATGTGATTTGAGACCCCCCGAATCACTGCCCAGCCAAGGCCCCCTGACCCCTGGTAGCTTTAGGGCTGGCCCTTCACTTCTCTTGATTTCCTGACAGGCCATGCTCATGGTACACGATACAGTTGCTCAAAAGAATTTCGACCCCGTTCTTCCCCCTCTGCCCGATAATATTGACGAGGATTTTGATGAAGAATCAGTGAAGATTGTCCGCCTGGTAAAGAACAAGGAACCCCTGGTATGTGACACCCACCTCTCTTTCCCCGACCCCTCCATGTACCACTCTCCCACCCACCCAGAAACCTGGGAAGAGACCCCCCCGCCGAAGTCCCTGGAGTGAGTGTTAGTAGCTTTGTCAGGGCTGCCACTAGTCCCCGTGGCACCTTTGTGTGTAGGGTATCTCTTTCTCTGGGTGGACACAGCCTCACTTGACTGTGGCCAAGCTCCTTTGTGCAGTAAACAACCTGTGCAGCTGTACAGGGCAGCCCTGATCATCATGCTCCGCATCAGAGGTTAGCAAACTATGGTCCAAGGGCCAAACCCAGCCCACTGCCAGTTTTTTTTAAATAAAGTTTTACTGGTGTGTGGCCATGCCCGCTCATTTACGTATTGTCTGTGGCTGCTTCTACGTTGCAACGGCAGTGTGGCGTAGTTACCACAGAGACGGTGTGGCCTGTGAAGCCTAAAATATTTACATTTGGCCCTTTACAGAAGTTTGCCAAATCCCGCTTTGAATACTGAGGAAGCACGGGGCAGCTGCCGTTCTTCTCCCCAGCTGACAGATTGTTATCATTCTGGTCCTAGTGCAGCATTGATTTACAGAGCGAAGGGACAGGGTTATTTATTAGATGGGGGGAAGTGGAGGAAGTCCAGAGAGTCGAGTGTTTGCCCCAGAGTATGCCACAGCTGGCATTCTTGATTTTCAGCTTTTACCAAGGGCGCTCAGCTTAACCACTTCTGCAAATGGAAGGGAAGCTCTCGGCCCCCTCTGTTTCCCCCACTGCAAATGGGGCAGGCATCCATTGACATGGTCAGGGTTGTCTTTCCTTTTTATGTTTGGGTAGGTTATGGGTCATAGCTGGGTTGGTTTCTGACCGAGCCTGCAGCCAATCATCGAAGGGGCTCCTATGAGTTGGGAGCAGGAGTTTTGGGCCCCATACGGTCCTTGTCTGACCTGTCATGGCAACCATTCTGGGGGAGGGAGGAGGGAGGACGGTGTAAGGGGTTAAAACCCACAATGTTAATGTATCATAATGAAGCTCTAGGTTACTGGTAAGGCCAAGGTCATAGGGAAGAAGGCAGGCATCTCGCCTGGGGTCTGTCCTGGCTGTTGGAACTTGGCCTCCACCCTTTTGTCAGTCGGAAAGCACTTGTTCCCTGCTGCTATCTAGCTAACTGCCTCCCCTGTCATATTCAGGGAGCTCTGGGCTTCCCAGTGAGGATGTAGAAAGCCAAGTTTGTGGTTAGGAGTGACGGAGGTGGGGCCGGACCAGAGGGAGATGCTGATGGTCCATGCAAAGTGTCATAGCTTGTTCCTGAAGGCAGGGGAGGGGGGGGGCGGTCACTGTAAGGTTTTAAGAAGCAATAACATGATCAGATTTGCGGTTTAGAAAGATCGTCCTGGCTGCTGAATAGAAAGTGGCCTCGGGGGTGAGGCCAGAAGCGGAGGGCTGATTTGAAGGTGGGGACCAGGTAGGGGGAAGGCCAGAAAGGGGGCTTGGCCTAGGCCTGTGGGAACAGGGAAGAGAAATCCAAGAAATAAGTCAGAAAAAAATTAATGTCACTTTGTGACTGCCCTGGTTTGGGCAGGAGTCGTGGGGGGGATGCCTAGGGTAGCGCTGAGGTGTCCAGCTAGGACGATTAGGTGGCCACTGCAGCCGTCATTCAAGGGATGGAGCTTAGGTCCCATTGAATTCAAAAGTGGAGGCATCCAGGAAGTGGAGGGATTATTTGTTCAGAGACACAGACTGGGCAGCTGCCAGCATCCGGGAGGGGTTAAAATCACACCTGGGAAGTCGAGACCACAGGGGTAGAGAGCAGACAGTGAGGCCAGAAGGGGGCCAGGGCCAAATCCTGATTTGAAAGGCAGATAGAGGAGGACCCAGCCATGGAGACCTGTCGTCTCTGGGAAGACCCGGGAGAAAGGGGTGTCACCAGGGCCCGGGCTAAGAGAGGAACCCAAAGCGAGGGCGGGCACCCAAGGCAGACAGGCGGGAGGTAGAGGTGAGAAGGCTGAGTGTGTGTGGGAGCCGGCAGCTGGTGGGTGGTCAGCGCTGCGGCCAGTGCTCTTGAGGGTGCAGGTGACAGTGACTTGGGGGGTAGGAAGCAGAGACAGCAGGTGCTTGCTCCAAGGGAGCAGAGACTGGTGGTTACTAGATGGAGGCGCAGGCTTTTTACTGATGAGGAGGACGTGATATTTATGGAGCCAGGAGAAGGAGCCAGCAGAGAGGGGGCACTGAGTCCGCCGGAGAGGGAGGGAGGGGACGGAAGGACCAGCCTAGGCTGGGGGAGCCGCTCTGCTGAGAGCAGGGAAAGGAAGACGGGATGGACAGAGATGCCAGAAAGTTTGAAGGTCTAGGGGGTTCTTGGCTGATGGTTTCTGCTTCCAGCAGTATTTGTCCTACGGACTTCAAGTAGGTGACATAAATGAAGTTAATAACAAGTGTGCCCATGTGTTTGCAGTAACAGCCAATAATAAAAGGTTAACATTTATGGAGCACCTACTGCATGCACTTACTGGGTGCAACATAATTGAGGCTTGCCTGCATTACCTGATAGAATCCGTGCACCAACCCTGGGAGGTTAAATGCTATCCCCCACCCCAGAGGAAACAGACTCACAGAAGATAAGGGGCTTCCTTCTAAGGCTGCATGCTTTCAGGGAATGGCAGGTGGATTCAAGCCCAGGGTCGTCCCAACACGGGAGCTCAGCGCTTCACCTGCCACCGTCCCGCCTGCCTGCCACCGTCCCGCCTGCGGGGTGCATGAAATTGAGGGCTTGTTAGCACCTCTCATCCTAGACATCATTCTGCTGTGCTCCACCGGCCAAGTGCTGGTCCTAAAGCTCTGGCTGGTCATAATTGGTTCCCCTTGGCAACCACAGAAGGCCCAGTACCCTGTGATTGATTAGAGGTTGAGAATTTGCAGGCATGTTCTCTCCTTATTATTAAATGTCTTTGCAAGAGACAAGGGCTGTGATGTGAGAGACATGCACTGGACTCGGCGTCCCACAATCCTTTACACCTTCCCAGCTGGGCGACCTCGGGGATGCTGACCTTCTCTGAGCCCCTGTCCCTCACCTGTGAAATGAGATGTGGGAATTGCTGGGCTGTATTAACGTGAGATGCTGGTTTCATCGCATCCTCAGCACTGGAAAGGGCTGCCCTTGGTCTGCCCTCTGGGGTGACAGAGGGAGAGATGGGGAGGCTCTCTGGGGTCCAGAGCCTCGGGGTCTGAGGTTTGGGGCTGCCTCTTAGGAGCCTGCCTGCTCTGTCTCCGATGCAGGGTGCCACCATCCGGCGGGATGAGCACTCCGGGGCTGTGGTGGTGGCCCGGATCATGCGAGGGGGCGCGGCCGACCGGAGCGGTGAGTGGGGTCCGTGCTGGCCTGGTGAGGGTGATGGCTTGGAAAGGATACAGCATGCCCCAGCCTTCCCCTTGTGGCCACGAGAGTCTCCTTTCCTTCTCCTCTCTGGTCCCGTTTGGGATGTGCTTTGCTTTCTGGGAGCAGGGCTGGGATTCTCTTCTCCTTCCCAAGCCTGGTAGAAATTTTAACCGTTTGAAAATGCCTCAGGCACGGAGAACATTGGGGTTGATCAGAAGGGCTCCTGTGCTGGCCTCGCTGAGGCCTGGGGTCCTTAAGCCCGCAGCATGGGCTGGGCGGGTTTCCTGACTGCATGCAGAGCAGGGACGCCCTTCCCCACCACCCCAGTTGTCGCTCTTATGGAGGGAAGGGTGTTCACGCCCCAGATTTGTTTGGGTGGAAAACAGGTTGAGAATCAGTGTTGTGTGAAACAACTACTCAGTTGGGAGGCAAACCTTCTGGTGTAGAGAGGTGTTACCCCAGAAGTCTGGGGATCACTCTTGTGGAGACCAGAGCTTCTTAAACATTAGCAAGCACCGACACCCCCCCCCCCAGCATCTTGTTAAATGCAGATTCGGATTCAGCAGGTGGAGGGGGGCCCCCGAGATCCTGCACGCCGAACCGCCTTCTGGCTGCCGCTGCTGTTTGGCTAGCAGTTAGGGCCTCATGTGCAGAGACACTGGTCATTAGAGCCGAGGCCTCTGGACAGGTGTCTTAACACTCTATACGTCACCTTTCCTGGTGCCTTTAAGTTTTCTTAAGATTTGAGAAAGACCTTCTAAGAGTATGTCTGTTAACCTAGGAAGGTGAAGAGTTAATGATATTTCTAAAGCAGAGGTTATAATGGAAAGAACCAGGCTTTCGATGTCAAAATAAGTGTGTTTGAACACAGGCTCCATTATTTCTTAGCAGAGTGGCCTTGGGCAAGCTGCATAATTGCTCTGGGTCTCAGGTGCCTACTTGTAAACTGGGGGTTTCCCTGGGTGGTTTTGAGGCTGAGATGCTGAGTGCGGCGCCCCGGGCACAGTAGGACTCAGCCGGGCCCAGGCCCACCCACTGTCTTTACACCTTGAGTCTGCTGTGCGTGTGGTGGGTTCCTCTGGTGGGTGCCAGTGGTGCGCTGGGGCTGAGGCCCCTTCCTGTGCTGATGGGCAGCCCCTGTGTCTCCTAGGTCTGGTCCACGTTGGAGATGAGCTCCGAGAGGTGAACGGGATCGCAGTCCTGCATAAACGCCCCGATGAGATTAGCCAGATTCTGGTCCGTGCTGCATGTGTCCTGGGGGGCGGAAAACGGGGGGCCGGTCTTTGGAGACCAAAGCAAGGCACTTCCAGGAGCCAGGGTGGAGTTTGGCTCAGTCTCTGTGTTCATGAGGAGGCTGCAGGCAAAGTGGCCTGGTGGCATGCCCAGGGTTGGGGTGGGAGACAGGAAGAGTGGCACTCCCGGGCCACCTGCCTGTCAGACCTCTTCAGCGTAGCCCCACTCCCTTTCCTGAGGCCCCTTCTGCGACATCCCCTCAAAAGGGTCCCCTCTTCCGAAGGGCTGAGGAATATGGAATAAGAAGCTGCAGTACAAGGAGGACCCAAGAGCAAGGGCTTTGGGGTCAGCTGGTCCTGGGTTCGAATCCTGTCTCCACTGCTTTTCAGCCGGTCAGCCTTGGGCCAGCCATTAGGTCACCCTGGGTTCCACTTTCCTTTCCTGTAAAGTAGGAACAGGGAGGTTTCTCATCCAATGCGTGGTTATGATCAGGATGTAAACATCCTGGAAGGGATACAGCACTTCACATCTGTGAGGAGATTCTAAGGTCTTAAGTGCTGGGGTGCAGGTAACCTCCAGAGCCCGTTCTGCAAGTTCAAGTCAAGCTGCAATTGTCAAAAGCCCCAATCACAGTTTTGTCTTCTTTATCCTTCTCCCCCGACATGACCCTCTTCGCTAATTTCTGATGGTTTGGGAGGGGGCAGAAATGGGCTGATCTGACGAGAGAGGACCCCCCACTGTAGGGAGCCCTGGTTGCAGGCAGGCTCCTTTGGTCTTCCTGACCCCACTGCCGTTTCGCCGGCTCCGGGCCCCGGGATCCTTGTGTTCTAGGGCAGTGCGGGCCCAGGGAGACTGTTGGGCGAGGTGTGCTCTTATGGGCGGACTGCATTCTGCCTTGTGTCCCCCTCCCCCCATGGGGATGCAGGGTCTGTGTCAGGGTAGAAGGAAGGGGAAGCTCCAGCAAGGTAGGGGTGACCTGAGGTTGGAGAGCCCGATGGGCAAATGGAAGCAAAGGGAGGGAAATGAAACTGAACTTGGTTATGAAAATAATCTGAGAGAAGAGAAAGAAGGGTGGCCTGTGGGTCACTAGAGGTCAGGAGGGACGGAAAGGAGGAATTCAGGGCGTGCGCTGTTCTTGGTGCTCATGTAGAGTTCTGTGTCCCTTTGTCCCACGAAAATGCAGATACTGGGTTTTGAGTTTTGCTTTAGTTAATTCACGGGAGCCACCCCTGGAGGGTGGACCACAGGGGAGGGGGCGCACCTGACTTCCTTCTGAATGAGTTTCCAGATCGGGGCAGGAAGACTTGAATTCACCGAGGGTTAGACATGGGAGGTGGTAAGCTTCGAACTCCCCTCTCAGGCGCAGTCCCAGGGAGCCATTACCCTGAAAATCATCCCAGCCACCCAGGAGGAGGACCGTTTAAAGGACAGCAAGGTATGATGGGGTCGGAGGCCGGGAAGGGCTTTGAAGCAGTCGTTCAGGAAGAGATCACATGTCTGGTCCTCGGAACGTGTGCTCAGGAGAGAACTGTAATTCAGTCACACTGTGATTCATTTATTTGTACCTGCCTTTTTCTAAACCGGATTTGATGTAGCTTACTAATAAAAGACAAGGTTATTTTAATTGAAATAGAAAATTAGGGCCCTGAAGAGGAGAAACTACCAAATGTGCTGGTTTCGGGACCAATTAAGTAACTGCCATTTGCTTAATTCTTTGGTGAGCCTACTTTTTTTGGGCACCTCCTCTGTGCCAGGTGCTCTGCCAGATGCTGGAGACAGGGACAGTTGGTAGCTTTGAGGACTCCCTAGTTCAGAGCGGGAGGCCGGGGAGCAAATCTTTCATGGCTCTGTGACTAGTGCGAGTGTTTCAGAAAGATTCTGAGCAGAGTTACAGATGCCCCGGAAGGGGTCAGGTGGTAGAGGTGCTGGAAGTGAGGCTTGAGGCAGGTGAAGGCGAGTAGGACTTCCCTGGTGAAGGAGAGGGGGAGGGAAGTTCACACAGAGAGGTCTGCATCTCCAGAGGCTCAGAGGTGCGGAGAGGAGTACTTTTGGGGGTTGGTGAGAGAGAGCACCCTGGTCGGGCTCCGGAGGGGTTATGCTGGGAGGTAGGTTAAGGCTATCTTCAGAATGGCCTTGAATGCTTTCTTAAGGGTGTTGGCATAATCCCGGCCTGGTTTGGGGGTCTCAGAGGCCAACCCCTGAGACGTGGATTCGAGCACAAGTAGTTCAAAGGAAGGCAGTGGGTGCAACAAAGTGTGTGTCATCCAGCAAGTTACCACTGTGTCATCCTGCTGGGGAGCTCGGGGATCCCGCGTAGACACGTGCCTTCCCACCCAAGAGCCAGGGGAGCTGGGAGATCTGTGCACCGACTCCTGCCAGGCTGCATCCAGGGATGGATTCCCAGCATTCTCGGCTGGCTGCATTAGAGTAGAGCGGTGACCAGAGAAAGCCCTTGGACAGAGAGACGCCAGGGCTGGCTGCTGGAAGTCTGGCTGGGGGGGTACTGAAATGGCGAGTCCCCGGGGGATGTGGGAGCTCCTGGGCTGCCACGTGGGGGAGGGCTGAGTGGGTAGAGACGGGAGGCAGGGAGACCTGGTAGGGAGGCTGTTGTAAAAGCCCCCGACCTGAGCTCAGGTGGTGGTAGAGAGAACAAGAGAGGGCGTTGCTTTGGTTTCAAATAAATTGGGATCTGAACTGCCTGGCAGCCAGGGCAGAAAGGAGAGAAAAGGCAGGCCATACCTTTCCTCAGGAGATGGAAGGAAGTGTGCCCATTTTTCAAGAAAGGTGATTCCCAGTCCCTGGCTCTGGGCACGAAATGCGGGATAAGAAGGAACAAATTACAGCACTAGGCATAGAGTACATGTCGATGAGTTTTTTGGTGAATGGGGATCAATAATGGACAATGTCTTTGATGTCAGACTTTTACAGCAAACGAAGACATCATCTTTGTGTGACTGTTCTTTATTTGCACACTTTGATCGAATCCCAGGGCTTGCATAATATAGACTCTTATCTGATGGAAGGCAGTTCTTTCTTGGATATGCTAATGTGATCTTCATAGGCAGCTTTTGCATGTTCTAACTTAATACAGGGAGAAAACTTGGTTTTCCTGGAGAAAATGGGTAACCTGTCCCTTAGCCCATCCTTCTTAAATATTTCTTTTTGATCCAGAAGCTTGATCTGGGCTGGCCATATAAGATTATGCTCTTTTCCGAGTGCCTGGGACCCTGACATCTGTGGCTGGATGAGGGTATCTGTCCTCATAATATCTGGCCAGAAAGTTCTTACCCTTGTCTAACTGAATCTTTTCTTTTCTTTCTTTCTTTTTCTTTCTTTCTTTCTTTCTTTCTTTCTTTCTTTCTTTCTTTCTTTCTTTCTTTCTTTCTTTCTTTCT